TTCTGCATGTGGTGTGAGGTAAGGGTCCAGCATCACTCTTCTGCATGCGGTGTGAGGTAAGGGTCCAGCATCACTCGTCTGCATGTGGTGTGAGGTAAGGGTCCAGCATCACTCTTTTGCATGTGGTGTGAGGTAAGGGTCTAGCATCACTCTTCTGCATGTGGGTATCCAGTTTTCCCAGCACCATTTGTTGGGAAGCTGTCCTTTCCCCTGTTGAATGGTCTTGGCACTCTTGTCAAAAATCAACTGATCATATAATACAAAGTTTTATTTCTGTGCTGTCCGTTCTAGTCCACTGGACTATATGTCTGCCTTCATGCCAGAGTAATGCTGTTTTGAATACTATAGCTTTGCAGTAAGTTCTGAATCCCTCTCTCTTTCCATATATACATAATTTTCTAAGACAGCGTCTCACTCTGTGGCCCAGGCTCAAGTACAGTGACGCAGTCATGGCTCCTAATGCCTTGGCCTTCTGGGCTCTAGCAACCCTCCCCACTCAGCCTCTGGAGTAGCTGGGACCACAAGTGTGCACCACCACACCTGGTTAATTTTTGTATTTTTTGTAGAGACAGCATTTTGCTATGTTCCCCAGACTGCTCTGGAACTCCTGAGCTCAAGTAGCCTGCCCACCATGGCCTCTCAAAGTGCTAGAATAACAGGTGAAAGCCACTGCACCCACCCAAATCTCTCTTTCTTTTTTTTTTTTTTTTTTTTCTGAGATGGAGACTCATTCTGTCACCCAGGCTGGAGTGCAGTGGTGTGATCTTGGCTCACTGCAACCTCCACCTCCCAGGTTCAAGTGGTTCTCCTGCCTCAGCTTCCCAAGTAGCTGGGATTACAGGTACGCGCCACACTACATCTGGCTAGTTTTTGAATTTTTAGTAGAGACAGGGTTCCCCCATGTTGGCCAGGCTGGTCTCAAACTCCTGACCTCAGGGGATCTACCTGCCTCAGCCTCCCAAAGTGTTGGGAATACAGGCATGAGCCACCACACCCGGCCCAAATCTCTATATTTTAAAATCAATATTGAGACTTAATTTGTGGCCTAACATATGGTCTATCCTAGAAAATGTCCCTGGTGCACCCGAGAAGAGTGTGCACGCCGCTGCTGGGCAGAGTGCTCTGTGCGTCCATTGAATTAGTTGGTGTATGGTGCTGAGTCCTCTATTACCTATTTTCTATATTGATAATAGAATATACATTATTCTATACATTACTGATAAGTGGATATTGAGGTCTCCAACTATTACTGTAGAACTGTCTGTGTCTATCTTTCCCTTCAATTCTATTGGTTTTAATTCTTGTGTCTTGATGGTCTATCATTCGTAAATGTTTACACAGGTAATTATTATGCCTTCTTGTTGTAATGAAACTTTTATTACTATATATTGTCATTCTTTGTCTCTTGTAACCCTTTTTTATTTTAAGACCTATTTAGTCTGATACTAGAATAGCCATCTTGCTCTCTTTGGTTACTGTTTGCATGGACTATCTTTTTTCCTCCTTTCAATCTATTTGTGTCTTTGGCTCTACAGTGGGTCTCTTACAGACAGCATATAGTAGGATCATGTATTTTTTTTTTTTTAATGCATTCTGCCTTAGTCCATTTAGTGTTGTCATAAAAGATAAAGAGGTTTGTGTCCTGAGTCTGGTGTCTGGAAAATTTAATACTGAGCAGCTACACTTGGCAGGGGCTTCACACTCCTTCAGCTCATGGTGGAACATGGAAAAGGAGCAGGCATGTGCAAGAGAGAAGAAGGAAGAGAGAAACCAAGGAAGCCAGATTCTTCCTCGGGAACTAATGTATTCCCCTGAGAGTGAGAATTCACTCACCTGGAGGAGGCGCACTGACCTACTCATGAGGGATCCACCCACATGACCAGTCACCGCCAGGTGGGCCCCACCTTCCAACATTGCCATTATCAGCGATCTGATTTCAGGATGAGCTTTGGTGTGGACAAACCACATCCAAACCACAACTCGGCCAATCTTTGTCTTCTCATTGGAAAGCTTCATCTGTTTACATTTAAAGCAACTGCTGAGAATTTACTTCTGTCATTTTGCTCTGCTTCCCACATGCCTTACAGCCTTTTTTTGTCCCTCATTTCTTGCACTACTGTCTTCTTTTATATTTAGTTGATTTTTTATAGTGAAATGTTTAAATTCTTTTCTCCTTTCCTTTTGTGTATGTTCTATAGCTATTTTCTTTGCGGTTACCATGGGGATTACATTTAACATCCTAAAGTTATAACATTCTAATTTAAATTTATACCAGCTTAACTTCAATAACACAGAAAAACTCTGCTCCTTTACATCTGTTCCCACCCTTTTCATTTGCTGATGTCACAAAACTACATCTTTATTCATGATGTGCCCCCAAAACATAAACAATTCTTTTAAATGCATTAGTCTCTTAAGTTACGTAGGAAAAATGTGGAGTTACAAACCAAAGTTGCAATGATACGAGCTTGCAGACTAATTTTTTAAATGTATTCATCTCTTAGATCTCACAGAAAACAAAAAGTGGAGGTACAAACCATTGTTATAATATTAGCTTTTATAACTGCCCATGTCTTTACCTTTACTGCAATGTTTACTTCTCCATATGGTTTCAGGTTACTGTCTAGTGTCCTTTCTTTTCAACCTGCTAGCCTCCTTTAAGTATTTCTTGCAGGTCCAGGTCAGTTGGTAACAAATTCCCTCAGCTTTTGTTCATCTGAGAATGTCTTAATTTCTCCTGTGCTCTTAAAGGATAGTTTCCATGGATATGGATACTTGGTTGAAAGTTTTTTCTTTTATCACTCTGAATACATCAGGGTGATATACTCTGTTCCCCAAGTTTCTGATAAGAAATCTGCCAATGATCTCACTGAGGATCCTTGTACGTGATGAAGTCTCTTTTCTCATCTGTTTTCAAGATTCTCTTTGCCTTTCTGCAGAACTGTCTCAAGTATAATGTGTCTAGTGGGGGTCTCTTTGAGTTCATCTTAGTGGAGTTCACCAAGTTCCCTGGTGTTTCTAGTCATGGCTTTCATCACATATTCTCTCCTCCCTCTTTTTACTCTCTCCTTCCTGGACTCCCGCAGTCCGTATTTGGTTCTCCTGATGATGTCCACAGGTCCCTAAGCTCTGTTCACTTTCCTTCATCCTTTTTGTTTCTCAAACTTGATTATTTTCACTGTCCTATCTTCAAGTTTGCTAACTCTTTCTTTTGCCTGTTCAGCTCTGCCTTTGATTTCCTCTAGTAAATTTTCATCTCACTTATTGTACTTTTGAGCTCCAGAATTTTTTCTGGTTCCTTTTTAGGTTTTCTATCACATTACTAATATTTCCATTTTGTTCATACATCATTTTCTTGACTCTTTCCATATCTTCCTTCAGTTTTTAAGCATATTTAAGACAGTTATTCTAAAGTCTTTGTCTAGTAAATCTGCCATCAGATCTTTTCTGGGAACAGTTTCTGTTGACTTATTCTTTTCCTTTGATTGTGTCATACCTTACTGTTTTTTTGTACACCTTCTAATTTTTTGTTCAAAATTGGACATTTGAATCCAATAATGTAGAAACTCTGAAAAGCAGATTCTCCTCCTTCCCCAGGGTTTACTGCTTTGTTGTTGTTACCGGTTTGGGGGTGTTTTTGTTGTTGTCATTTTTCATAGTTGTAGGGTGTCTCTGTGAAGAGGGTGAGCCTGAAATTTAAACTTAAGGTCTTCTCATGTCTTTCCTTGGCCTGTGCCTTTCCCTAGGCACATGCAGTCACTTGCTCATTTCCCCATATACACAGTTGCTTTTGAATGTCCTAGTCTTTCATGTCTGGCTTCCAAAGGGAGAAAACAATAAAAATGAAGTGGGGAGATAAAAAGAGAACTGGCCCTTTAAATTTCCTGGCAGTCACAGGGAAGAAAAGGCTTGCAACTGTGATGACAGGCCCTCTTTGCATGCACCTCTGTGATGGGAGGACAGAGCCTCACTATCGGGGGAGGAGGTCCTCTTTGCCCACCCTAGCTCCCACAAGCTGCATGCACACTGTTCCAGGAACACTGCACACCCTGCACCACAGAGCTGAGTGGGCGGCAGACCTGAAACTGAAATTAACTGTCCAAGCCTCCCCTCTAGAAGTTGCAAACCTTCAACAGACTCCAGAGTTTCAAAATAGTTACATCAGACAGCTTCTGCCAGTGGAACTGTTGTCTACGTGGGGACAGCTTCTGCCAGTGGGACTGCTGTCTAGGTGGGGAGACAGCTTCTGCCAGTAGATCTGTTATCTGGGTGGAAACAGCTTCTGCCAGTGTAACTGCTGTCTAGGTGGGGACAGCTTCTGCCAGTGGGACTGCTGTCTA